AAAACTAAGAGGATTTCGTCAAGAGCCGTGGTGGGGAAGTTTATGCCCTTCTGCACGGCTCTGTTCTCTGCAGTGCTTCTGGTTAAAAATCCACAGGCTGCACTTCTTTGTCTTATTTACATGAAGGCCACAGTCTCTTTTTCCTTCTCTTACCACATTATTTTGATTTAGATACCTGCCAGTAATAGAAATTAACAGAAGAAAGGGTGATCTACACTGGCTTCTATTACAACCTTCCCAAAGAGTTCTGCCTGATCTGTGCTGCTCACTACATACCCAGAGAGTGATCAGGCTGTTAAAGCTTTATATCTCTTAAAGAAGCAATATACCTGTAGAGGGACTAACACACACCTGAGTAATGTGGTATTGACTTCATGTCATTGGGATGGTTTATTAGATTGTCTGCAGCCACTACCCTTGGGCATCTTCAGATGTGAGCTTCTGAAGAGAAACTAGCTTGGGGATGCAGAGAGATGAGTTTGTGTTTCACAGGTGTCTTTTTTGCAAAGTTACAGGTGAAGTTGTATTGCTGTGTTCAAAAAATTAAAAGTGGAAAGTGTGCTTACACAAGCAAATGAAATAGAGACATGAAAAATGATCATGAACAACTGGTTTACACTTTTGCAGGGATCACAGTGGGAGAATATACCCATATGTCCTAATCACTGTTTAATGGATGCACAAGGTCAAAGAACACAATGCCTTGACAAAATATCAAAGGATTAAAAATGAAAAAATTGAGAAATATCATTTAAAAAGAGCATTTGAATTTATGGGAAACAACCATGCGAAATATTAATAAAGTTAGCAGCGTCTCTTAAAATTGATGAGCACCTACTGGGATATTTCTGTGACATAACAAATTACTTTATCTGAAAAATATCCCACATAAAATCATCCAAACATATTATTGCTGAAAAAAAATAAAATCAAGGAGCAGTTGCTGAGCTGTTGCTGCTTAGCTTGGCTACCTAAACTACCAGTCTACGTTGTGTTCTCAGGGATGTTTGCCAAGTGGTTATTCAGAACACCTCAGATAAAAACTTGAGTCTTTTTTCACTGACTAACCAGTTATACTCTAAAAAGTCATCTTTAACCACCTTCATGTTGACTGATACTATTAAGTTACCAGTGGATTTATCATTGACCTGTCTAACAAACTTAATTTCTCACCTTTTTTCTCCTCCAAGAAGGCACATCAGCTAATCATACAAATATATTTTGTTTTGAACTTCTTAATAAAAGTCGTAAAACAGAAATATGATCTCACTTTAAGGCTCTGAACTGTAATGTTGATTTGAGAAAGGTTCACTTTTCCCAGTAGCAGTGATTTTGGTTATACTGGAGCTGGCATGGCTTACGTGTGCAGGAAGCAGGCTGAGGCACCACCTTCTATCGTGTCAGGTAACATATTTCCATCTTTACAGCACTTTTTAGGCTTTCACTGCAAATGTGAAGGACTAGCAACTAACAGAGGAAAACTGCCACTCACAAAGAGGATGTAAGAATAATTAGAACTTCTTGATTGAAGGCAGCTGTTGGAAAGACCTGTCCTGGACTTCAGAGTGGCTAACACAGCCGCAAACCTGATAGGCAGGAAAGCCAGAAGTGTTCTGCATAAAACTTTGGAGAAAAAGGTGGCAGAAGGAGAAGCAGTGTATGCTTGTGATGGAAAGCACTAAGAGTGGGTCAAACCCCAGTTCTGATCAGACAATTGAGATGTGACATACTTTATAAGCCATAGCATCATGACTAGGGCGCTTAACATTCATACTCATTATCCAGAGAGACTACAGAGATTCAAAAAGCGAGGCAAATTGCATTTGTAACTGATTGTTGGGAAAACAGTGAAAGGAAGTACATGGAATTAATATGCTTGAGAACAACAACATCAGCAGAAGTTACTGGATTCAAAAACCAAAATATGTGCTTGTATGTCCAGAAGATACTTAGAGGAAAAAACCGAAACCAAACACAAAAACAAAGTTCATGATAAGCAAATAAATTACAAGCAATGCATGAAACAAATGATGGAAAAACTTGGTTATATTCTTCAAACAAATGTTGCAACTAGGATAAATTTCCCCCCAATAGCCTCAGTGATGTTTCCTTGCAGATGACTTGCTCCTGGACAACATGCTTCCATCATACTAATGCTGCTCACAGCTTGGCTAAATCCAGGACTTTTCTAGCTTTAACGGGATCTTTACAAAAGAGTTTCAAATCTTTCTTCCTTCTTGCTACTTTATGGGTTTTTTAGAACCCTCCACCTACCTCGGCCAACCGAGAAGTTTCCCTCATGAATGGTGCACCATGATTGAGTTTTCAAAGTGAGAACAGAGCGAGCTTGTTTGCTAGCAAAGAAAAGCCATAGGGAGATAGACTGCTTCTTAAAGCAACTAAATGATGATAACATTAAACCTCCAATATCTATAGGTCTGACTGGAAAAATACAGTTCCACTGCCTGAAGTGTCTTTGCCAGGACTCCAGGAATCATCTAAGAGTTCAAATGCAGCATATTTTATCCAACTCAGTTACTAGCAGAGAAAGTTTTGTCTTGCGCCTTTCAAGTCTTCTCCAGATTACTCATCTATTCTCATAAAACCAAGGAGTTTTAGTGTTACTAAATTGAACAGAACACAGAGGCTATTGTAGCAACTTTATTTTACTTAAAGCAGTTTGGGCAAAATATTGGACATAATACTACACCCCAAGCTTTCTCTGGCCATCTCATTTTGTAGGAGAGGGCAAAGCAAAGACAGTAGAAATCTATCCTGATGTCATACCACCATTAATATCTTTACTGCCAAGAGGGATTTCTTCACCTCATGGACCACCCCATTACCCAGGAGTGCTGGAGTAGAGGTTCCTAGGAGCTTTTTTGGAGCAGCAATGTGGGCTGCTGACTCCTTAGAGAAAGAAAAGGGAGATAGAGCCAAAATTTGTATTTCCAGATCTGATCAGCTACCTAATACTGTTTTATGATCTGGCAATGATAACTTCATGGCAACACAAAGATAGCTGACAAGCAAAATTCCTCATTACAGTTGACTTCAAAGCTTTTTCAGTAAAATGACAGTTTTTGTGAAGTGTAAGTTAGTACAACATGCTAAACTAAGACACTTACTTGTAATTCTCTGATATTGCTGACTATGGCCTGGACCTGCTTGTTTGCAGAAAAAAGGAGGCTGGTTGTGCTGTGCCTTGTGGGACCCTGGTGCACAGTTGTCTCTTTTCCCAGTGTCATCCTGCACTAGTCAAGCATATACTTCTACAACTCTCTGTGCAGGCGATGTGAAAGCATTTTGTGCTATACAAGTGGTTTACATCAAGGTACTCCCTGGGTTGGCTGGATTTCCATTAACCCCGTCCTCCTGAGAGCACAGCATGGCCTCTCAGTCACATTAGAGCTGAGTCTGCCATGAAAGCCTCCCAGCCAGACAAAAGGAGTCCAGAAAAAGCTGATACAGCTCTTTAAATACTAAAGAGATGTTGCCTAACATGTAGGGGGAAGGGGATATGAACTGCTAAATCCATCTCCCTGCCCTCACCTCAAGCACACAGATGCATGAGATACCATTCCATCCACGCGATGCTAGGCACAAAAAAATGTCTAGGAGGAAGAAAGAGCAGGTGTACATTAAGCATTTTTAGCTTTTATATCAAAATATGGCTCAATCAGTGTCATAAAGTGATAGGAAAAAAAAAATCCTGATTTTACTACAAAATTTCTCTTTGACATCAGTGGGTGTTTGCATGCTTATTTACATGGATTTGCATATTGCCACGTCCCAGCACAGCACACAATCTTGTTCATTGGGCATTTTAGCAACAAACCCTTACACCAAAGCACACAAAACCACCCAGGTTTATTCTTACTATCATAGGAATCTTCCTTCTTTTAAACTTCAAGTACTGAACAGGCATATTCAGCTCTATCAAGGGACTATACTGGACAAAAAAGCCCAGCAGCAGCATAGCCTAGGCAGTGAACCAACAGTGGGTTTCTTGGATTCTGCTTAAGGAGTGCCAAGTGCCAGAACAGAAGAATATTATAATTGAGAAAAATCAAAGAACTTTCACTTGTAGACAGTTGTTTCATTATTTCATAACTGGCAATATGTAGCATGTAATTATTGCCATATGTAAAATGCTACATTAATATATTTCTTTGTAGATTGTGTGAAGGACCTTTCTACCTGTCTTGAAAGAGTACTCAAGAAAACACAGCTAATTATCTAATTTTTCAGAACTGAGCAAAAATTGGGAAGATGTAGCCCCATGAATTACTGCATCACTATCAGCCAAAAAAGCCAGGGGCAAAACCAGATTGAATTTGCTTAATTAGGTCCAGATCCAGTGAAGTATATACATATCTCTAAGCCAGCAAGGGAGCCTATGGACATCAAAAAACTTGAAATAACTGTGTTGAAAGAGAACATAAAGCTAAATACGACCTGGGTTTCAGTTTCTACATATGATTTCTCATATGCTTAGGATGATCTTCATGCTCAAGCATTTTGCACAATCATTGCTTTGCCTCTTGTCAGAGAATTGCATAGTAGAAAGTTCTAGAAAACTGCCTTGAAGCTGATTAAGACCCTATTTCATTCCCTCTCATTTCTCACTCAGTTTTATAGGAAAAAAAAACAAATTTCAGCACTGCAGACTTTTGGAAACAGCATGTATGAAATTATAGATATAAGCACATTTAAAAATATGAAAAAATTATGATTCAAAGTATCCAGAATTTAGTTCAAAAACACTATGCAAGAAAAAAACCGCTTTCCGGGCAAAGTAGAAACAAGGTGTGTTATCAACTTGTGGGTAACACATGGGTTTTAGGGATATTTCCTATCTGCACAGCTAGACAGTCCTTTTTTGGTATTTTCTTGAGATAAGACATCCATCTGTCAGATCATTACAGGAATTACAAAAAAAAAAAAAAAAAAAAAAACACAAAAATCTTTACCAGTACCTATTATTTGACATATTGTAGATAAAAAGCAATTCTTGACCAGAGGGAATTCCCCAAATATGGTAAAGCAGGATACAGCTCAGCTAAGGGGCAAAGTGCACTAACCTGTGAAGAAAGTCAAGACAACCCAAGTCACCCAGAGGAACAGAGCCACAAGAGAGGTAAGTGATACAGGAGAAAGCTCACAGGCCAGACACACACTGATTTAGACAGGTGACATAAATTGTACTTGACTTGCAACAAAATCATCATTAATTTCCACCTTCCATTCCAATCTAATGACAACATTTTTACTTAAGCAAAATGTTTCATCTTAATTGTCTTCTCAAGGTATTCCAATAATGTGATGTAAAAACTAATTCTAGAGTAAAAGACTGAGATTATAAAATGAGCAGTATAAACAAAGAGCAAAGTAATCCCACATATTTCTCATAACTCTAAGCCAAATTTAAAAGGTCAATGTTTTCAGATACGTCTAAACTTTGGGTACCTCCTGAGTCAAGAAATAAAAATGTTATTTTGCTCCTAGGAGACAAAAGTTTGAGGCCATAATAGGTTTAGATAACTTATGTTAACAACTGAGACTGAGGGGACACAGCCATTCTGAATTTTGACCCTTTCGAAGATTGCAATTGTTTTGCAATACAATGTACTTTAACACACATCTAATTATTTTCTGGAATAAATAGCTCTTAGCTGATCAAGGCTGAACATCTCTGATCCAAATAATAGCTCATGATAAAATTATGGATGCACAAAAGACAATTCTGATTTTTTTCTCTCCAGGTATTTGCTCAGTTACTTCAATTTTCTTAAAGAGGTGAACATGTCTTTAAAGAGAAAGCGAACAAACCGAGCCAGCTTACGCTGCAGTAGCTATGACAACAGACTTTGAAATAAGTGTGGAAAAAGCTAGACCTGAATCTTAATTTCATTTAATTATTTTTTTCAGTCTACACTTCTCATTCACTACTTTGCATTTTACTCTGAAATTCTACAGAAATTGTAATTTCTTGCTAACACTAAATGCATAGTATCTTCTGTAGCAGATTCTAAAGATAAGAGAGTTGGAAATGAAAATATTCAGTGAATTAGTAGACAACTCATATTGTCTTCAGATGAATGTCAGTCTGCCTTCTGGGGAATATTCCTCACTCAAAGATGCTGGGATCAATGCAGACAGGCCTGTGTGAGAGATCTGACCATTAAGGAATGATCTTACTGGTCAACCATTAGCAAACTGTATCATATTGTCTATTAGTGGTGAGATGTTCAACATAAAAAGACAGGAGAGATGGTAGAGTTAAAAGCCAGGTTTTCAGTGGATTCAGCAGCTGGGCTGGGGTGAGAAAGAAGAAACTTCAGTTCTAGAAGCTCTTTTTTTTTTCTTTCAGTCCTTCCCATCTTCCTTGCACTGTCTTTTACAGATTATATCCACAATCATGGATACCACTACCTTCACTAGACAGAAGATCTGGCTCCCTATTTATGTCTCCCTTCCCATTCCTCTATATCATCTCCAGCAGAAGGAGCAAATTTTCCCTCTTTCAACAAGCACAGCAGTTTAGAGATTGAAAACACTTAAAAAAGAAAGTAAAAAAAAAAAAAGAAGAGACACTGAAACCATTGCCACTAACATCTCTTCTTACTCCACAAATGTTCCATCTGCCCTCTCTGTCTATTTTCTTTGAAAACATCCAGGACTTCACAGGAAAACTAAATCACTTTACAGCTGTGATTATACAGAAGAGGAGTCGCTTAAACCTCTTTTAACATGACCCATGTCACTTGTGCTCCCAAAGCAAGTTATTGAGCTACAGCCACCCATGAGCTCCCACACCTGCCCAGGCTAGGGACATTATGCAGCACTTTCCCCCACTGTACCCACTCAGCTCCTCTGGAGGCAGCTTCCCCTGAGCTCAGTGTGGTGGATTTTAGGGCACCACTGCAGAGTTTGGCACCGGGGCATGCAGGCATAAAATACAGAAACAGATGGTCATCATGCTAATCACTGCTTATTAATTCCCTTAAGAACTCATTGTTGAGTAATCAACCCTCATAATTCTCCCAGAAAGACAAAAATGCATAAGAAATGTAAAAAATATAAGTCATTCTTTTTCTTCAAGCCTGATACCATCAATTTTTTTTCTCCTTAGCTCCCTCCACTTTCTCAGTAAGGTGCCTGCTGCTGTGATGGGTGAAGAAAGACTGGTTGAGCAAGGACTGGAAGTAAGCAGCCTTAATCTGCATTCCTTTTTACTGGTGCATTAATTTTTAGACTTAGCTGTCTGACTGCTGGAAATCTGTGTGAGGACACCTCACGTGCAAGAAACTACAGATATATTCACAAGAGGAGGTCCAGGCCTTGGTCATCAGACACATCCACCCATTGAAGAATATCGGCTGGCCCATGTTCAAATACATTACTCATATTCCCTGATTTGTCCTCTTTTCAAAATGCAGCCCTCTCTCACACTCTTGTAGATTTGCCCTGCATTTCCAGTATCTTCAGCATAAATGAAGCATTGCAGTGTCCCATCTATGACTTGCAGAGCTATGAACAGTTATAAGGTACTTACAGATTTCATCCACAGCTTCCAAGCAGCTGAAGACCATCATCACAACAAGTCTTTAGTCAGAAGACAAGATTCAGGATTTACTGACTGCAAAAAATGTAAAAGATACCTGTGTGACGCCTAAGGAAGAAGAGGTGTGACAAACACAAACCCAAGCACAGCCCCAGCCTACAAAGGCACCATTTGCATTTCACTCAGGGAAGCGCTGCTTGGAGGTTGAGAGGTACTTAAAGATGTCCTACCCCCAGGCACAGCTGCCACCTCTTACTCTAATTTCCCACCTGGGAGTTGACAAGCAGCATTAACTCTTCAGTGCCTGGCTCAAGGAGAGTAGAACAGGATATGATGCTCAGAGGACTCCTTGTTACTGAGAACTTCTTGCCATTAAATTTGGAAATGCTCCCAGCATATCATTCTATCTGTGCTCTGCTTGCAGCAATGATCTTTGATCTTTCTCTTCCATGCTCGACAGAATCAGGATGAAATGGCCTTGCCACATATTTTGGTCTTTCCAAGTACCTCTTAACAGCATCTTTGTTTCTGCATCCTCTGTGCTCAGTACACAAAGAGTTCATTTGCTTTCCGATAAAGAGTATTGTGAAGTGCATGCACAGCTATTTTTAAATCCTTCCTCTTTAAATCAGATATGATTTTTTTTGGAAAACCTTTTTCCCTTGACTCCAGTGGACACTGAATGCTAGGGAAATAAAACAGAGCCACATTTTGTACTAGAGTTGGTATAGCCCTTCCATTCTTCTTCTCTCTAGCCACACAACAGCATTGAGAACCTTGTTTCAGTCTCTCATGTAGCAAATGTGAAAGTTATTCTGCTTTTTGTAATCATGGAATGAGTCATGGGCACTTGAAGTTCAATAAATCCCCAAAGGCAGCCAGCTTGGTTTATTTTCAGCACTTATGACCCACAGAGGGGAAATTAGTTTACTTTTTTGAGACATGGGAATTGGATTTTTTCCTCATTATCTGTAAACAATCCTCATAACCTAGGAGAGGGAAAAAGTTCATATTAAAAGGCAATGCTTATTAAAATATCAGCTTTTCCCTGCTGCAGAAGGATTATTAGCATCACTGACTTCCTTCTCTGTTCAAACAATCTATTGCCAGGTTTCACGGAGAAGGACTTTTGTGGTTGCTGCTCCTTGACAGTGAGAGTCTAGGAGGTTTATCCTTCATGTGAGAACAGTGTTGCAAAGAGAAAAAAACAAGGTGCTGAGTTTCCTGGTGAGGGGGGTGACAGAAGAATCCCCCACTCCAAATAAGGCCACTGAGTTTGAAGTCTTCAGTAGAAGCATGAGATGAATTGCTTCCTTTCTAAGAATCAGTCTGATATAGCCCAGAGAAATATGTTCTCAGAAAGAGAGGCATATTTGCTAGTGTACTTCATACATTGCATTACTATGCACAAATATAGACACAGTCTTAAAGGAAAAAAGAGAGGATGATGTCCTGGTCATGTACAGTGACATTTAGCAATAAGTGACACAGAAATGATACACTGAAATGGTGCAGAATGAGTATAAATTGGCTCATATTGTGTCTTAAGTATTGCAGAAGGCTCCATATAGTGTATCACTGAGAAAAGCGTTTAGTTTATTTAAGCCTTACCACACTGTTTTTTTCTTTACTTATTTCTTGAATTTATAAACCTCAAAACAAATTCTGATTTTCAGTGCAGAGATTTAGAATTCAGGCTACAGAAGCCAATTTAGCACTTAAGATGCAAAAATAGTTCTGTCTAAAAAGAGATACTTTATTTGTTTCTAAGGAGAAACTGAAAAAGAATACCTAATTAAAGTGGGCTTGGGTTTTATTTTTAAGAGAAAAATGAGTGAGAGACGACATTTATTTAAATCTTTAAAAACTTATGTCTCTTCCATGGATTTAATTTTATTTTCATAGTATGAAAATGTATCCTTCTCTTTTTTCCTCCCAGTTTTCCCCAGGGCAGACACTTAAGCAAAGATACTTTTTAATAAATCTACCTGTATATTTGCTCAATCTATTGTTCAATCCCTGTTTCTTCACAACGTTTGATGAAAAACTTCTGCTTTCCTGAGAGCAAATCGTTCAGTCAAAGTTCCATTTTTAATTGCTGAATATTAGAAACACTTCTGTGCACCCTAGCTTTTAAGGGTGGCTTCCTTATTTTCAGCTCCCCTTCTGCTTCTACCCATTGTCATTCTGGTTGCCATCCAAGTACGATTTTAAACCTCCTGGTGTGACAAAAACAAAGACAATAAAAGACTTTCTAAGAGTCATTTAAGGATATACAGGTGCTTTACCAATCCCTGACTTCCTTTCTAGGAATGTCTGCTTTCCTTTGATACTCCCTTGCTTGACAAGTTTGTGATGATAAGGTCCCACACACACAGATCCATGTTCCCTTCATCAGTCATCAGATGACTGCCATTTTCTGGGGATTTTAGGTATTTTTTTTTAAATCGAGTCCCTCAACCACTGTTGACATGTGCTTTTCCTTCTCTGTACCATAGTCACTCAGAAAAGGTGTCAAAACCCTTTCTGTATAGAACAGAGTTTACAGGGATATCCTTTAATTTTCCTGGATATTTACATAGCACATAGCATGAACCTTTTACATTTTGATACTTTAAACTCTAGACTCAGTATGTTGTGAACTGTGAAATAACTATGAAGTTGTGATTTGTGCTTCCGCACTTAAGGCTTCAGACCCACCTGTGCTCTCCTGTAACGTCAGAAAAGACCTAACATGGGATAGTCAAAGTTTTCTCCTCTCAGAACTGTTTAAGTTCTGGAAACCAACACACTAACTGCTCTAAATGGCCATAGAGAGCTCCACCAGCCCTGACTCGCACTTTTCAGAGTGCTGCAGACACAAGCTTCAGGTAATTTATAGTGAATAAAGAACCTACAATAGGCAAGGAGGGGAAAGAAAGATGGCTTTGAGAACACCCGGCTGCTTTGTGCTGGCTTTGCACTGCATCATATGCCCAGTGAGTGCTAAACATAACAGAAACATTTTAAGTCTTGGCAGAAAAACCTGCTATGTCTTCCTAAGAACAGTTGGGTCATTAGTGACCATTCAGTCAGACAGACCATGGCTGTCTCAGAGCTATTAGGTAGATGGGGAGAGGTTGGTGGTGAGAAAATGTTGTGCTGGAGGATCTCAGTGAGCAATTACTGGGCTCAGCTGTGTGCAGAAAGACAGCCCTCGCTGCAGGGCTGATAGGCGGGTGGAAGCCAAAAGGGAAATCAGCACTTCATAAAAGTTAATGACCAAAGATATACTTCTTATGAGTCCTGACCATAGCAGGATTCAAGTGCAAAGCACAATGCTATTTCCTCCTCCATTTCTCCCTCTTGTTTTGGACCAGTCTCCCTCTCTTGTTTTGTTGTTGTTACTGCTGGTTTTTAAGATATAACTTTGTGAGAAAGTCCTGATTAAATCATCCACCATCATTTTCTTCCCTCTCATTATCAGATCTGACTCAGGTAGGCCATCCGTTTTCTTTTCTACTTTCCCAAAGGTAATATCTCAAGTGAGATTAAATACCCTCTTCCAGATGGCCCATTTTTGGTAAGAAAATTAATCCATGAAGCCAAGCACTGGCAGATCCTGAAATCCTGCACAGAGGGAGGAACTGACATTCTGAGTATTAGCCCTTCTGACTATTACTATTATATTTTCTGTACTGACATTATTCCAGATAAAGCTGACTGCCAAGCACTAAGTGTAGTTTCATATCTCCCAAAGTTTGCAGTGCAATGTTTCAGCATTTTATTGAGTATTTTATTATTATTACTATGGTTTAAAATTATTAATAAATTATCATATTTAAGAAAAAATTTTAAATATATAATTGAAAAGAGATTGTGTTTTTTTCTACTGACTAGAAACAGGAGAAGATAGTAATATGCAAAATGCAGCTTTCAGCCCTGTGGCACTGAAGTATATATCTATGTATGCTGGCCAAAACTAACTGTGAACACTAAAAACAGTCTAACAATAACAAATGTAAATATCTGAATTTCTTAAAATAATAACCCTCTCATAATAATTTTTTTCTTTCCTTTTCACCTACATATATATCCCTCTATTCTACCTCTTTCTGCTTTTCTATTCTGTAACCAGCTCTGCAAACATAGTACAGGTTTTCTACTACATTTTCTAAGTTCATACAAGTGGAAAAGGCATGTGAGATGTTACGGTGCTTGTTTTCAAACACTGGGACAAACACACAGATTGTGCATTGGAGAGGAGGGGTTAACACTGAGGACATTGTGCCCTGCCAGAAGGGCCCAAAACACCTTCACAACTAGAAGCACTATGATCTACACAACACAGCCCTGAACTCACTGGGTCTTTTTGCTGGTTTAAAAAATTGGAGTTTTAGTCCAAACTCTGTGTAATTCACTGTGATCACAGGCTAAATATTTCCTCTCTGTTTTCTATTTTACCAGTTGTTAAGAATACATAAAGATGCCTCTGATTTTCAAGGAGGGATTCATTGACATTAATGTTCAATTTTGATGATTAGGGTGAATGGCATAGGGCAGGAAGAAACCCAAGGAAAAAGTCACTTGTAACTATGGTGCTATAAAAGAAAGCTCTGGGATACATAAGCAAGAGAAAAATCTAAAAATGAAATAATTCCAACAGAGCTTGTAAGGTACAGAATAAATATG